AATTATATATAATAAGTGTGGGTGCATTTAATATGAAAAAGGGTGAATTACGGTTGGACATGTAGCGCAAATGCCAGGTTTTGTTTACATTTTGTTTTGTTCACAACGTGTACATTTGGCTCCGTCCTTAAGTGGTTAATAATAATACTTTACACCCATTTTTATATTATTTACAAACATGCACCTAAGAGATATAGCTTTTTATATAGAACATAAAAAATAAAAATATACACAAAATAGTATGATTAACAGAGCTCATTGAATATAAGCAGTTAAGTTTGTTCACTATACTCCAATTATGGAAGTCTGACAAAAAATGCAAATGCTGGGCTGAATTAGCGAATCAGCGTAGATTGCCAAAAAACCAACAAAATTTCAGTTTTTGTATAGCTATATTGGGCTTACATTTGCAATTTTCTTTCAGCATTAAAGATATTAAATAAATGAGAATTCAAAGTGAATTTCAAACGTAATATCAAACTAGCGTAACTAAAAGCATAGCTGTCTTGGATAATTTTTCCTATTTTTTGGCTTTTTTGATCTTAAATTTTAAATTCACTTTGAATTAACTTTTAATGCTCCCTTTTGTAAATAACCCTTTTAGTGTATCAAACTTTAAGAGTTGATTCAGTAAACACTGAATTGTAGTGAATTGTAAACAAAATCACCAAATGTTTAAAATAGCCAAGATGTGACTATAGTGAAGATGAAGAATTTTTTTAAATGATCAGTTTTTGCCTGAAGTTGGGATTTTGTTTATTATTTACATAGCAATGACATATTCCACAATACTTTACAATCATAGAAAGGGTATATTCAGAGGTTCTATGATGAGTTGAGGTAGGGACACATACTGGAAAGGTCTAGCCAGAGTCAAACCTGGCTTTAGCAGTTCTAAAGCAGTGATATTGTCACTGATCTACCCAGCCTGTAGATGAGTACAATTTGATGTTTAAAGAATAAACCTGTGAGAATTTGTATACATGATTTAGGCACATGCACTCCAAATATACACAAAACTGACATAGTCAGTGTTAAATATGTATGTTTACAATTGGTTTACAGACATGAAAGTAGACAATATTTAAATTTTAATAAGACAAAAAAAAATGAACATACTCGTATGAAATATTATTCTTCAGAAAACTTTCTTTCACATTCTGCAAGAGTGAAAATGGCACCTGGACGTGCACTTCCTTCCCCGGAAGAATTGCTGCTGCTATGTCTGGCTTCCACAGATCAAGCTGCATAAAACAAATAGTTTCAATCAATACAAGAAATAAACAGTTATTATTCGGCCTTTACATTAACTACTAACAGGGCCGGATTAACATAGGGGCTGATGGAACTGCAGCTCCAGGCCCAGGCCCATGGAATAGGCCCATTTAAAAAAAAAAAAAAAAACTTTTTTTTTTTTACACAGTACTCTTAGGTTTGCCACCTGACTGGTATTTTAAGGCACAGCTGGTATTTGAGGCTGCCTGGCCATGACGGTATTGCAGTAATACTGGCAATACAAATGCAAATATTTTTCTCAGTATAAACGGAGATTACTCTGCAATACCAGCACTGGCCAGTAGGGGTCAATGTGTATGGAGAGAGGCAGGGATAGGAAGTTACAGCATCTCCCTACCTCTCTCTACTCACTGATCCGAGGGGGAACAGCTACACAGCACAAAGAATCCAGACAGCAGCTCCCAGCCTGCAGAGAGAGACTACAGCTCAGGTATGTGAAGGGTGGGGGGAAAGGCAGCAGGGAGACATGGGGACACTGAGACACTTGGGGACACTGGGAAACATGGGGACACTGAGACACTAGGGGACCTGTGAGACATGGGGATGCTGAGACACATGGGGACGCTGTGAGACATAGGGAGACACATTAGGACACGGAGAAACTAGGGACACAGTGTCTCCATGTCTCCCAGTGCCCCCATGTCTCCCAGCCAGTGTCCCCTAGTCTCCCAGTGTCCCCTAGTCTCCCTGTGTCTGTGTCCCCATGTCTCCCAGTGTGCCCATGTCTCCCAGTGTCCCCATGTCTCCGAGTGTCCCCAAATGTCTGTGTCCCCATGTCTCCCAGTGTCCAGATGTCTCCCAGCCAGTGTCTCAGTTTCCCAATGTCTCCCAGTGTCTGTGGCTCCATGTCTCTGTCTCCCTAGTGTCCCCATGTCTCCCAGTATCCCCAAATATCTCAGTGAACCCATGTCTCCCAGTGTCCCCATGTCTATGTCCATAAGTGCCCCCATGTCTCCCAGTGTCCCAAGTGTCTGTGGCCCCATGCCTCCCAGTCAGTTTCCCTAGTGTCTGTGTCCCCATGTCTCCCAGTGTCCCCTAGTCTCCGAGTGTCTGTGTTCCCATGTCTCTGTGTCCCTAGTGTCTTAGTTTCCCCAAATGTCTGTGTCCCCATGTCTCTCAGTGTCTGTGTCCCCATGTCTCTGTGTCCCTAGTGTCTGTGACCCCATTTCTCCCAGTGTCCCCAAATGTCTCAGTGTCCACATGTCTATCAGTGTCCCCAGTTCTCCCAGTGTCCCCAGTTCTCACTGTGTCCCCATGTTTCTAAGTGTCCCCCAGTATCCCCAGTAGTGACACGGGACACTCTGAGACATGGGGACACTGGGAGAAAGAGGGACACAGACACTGGGAGACTAGGGGACACTGTCACTGATACATAGGTACACTGATGCCAGGCTGGCCTTCCAATTCTTTGGACAGATATGCCCCCTTTTTGAGCATGTTGGCCCATTTTGGCAGTTCTGATCACGTGATTTGCATCAGTGGCTCACCCTTTTACCCCGCCCATTGATAAAATTCTGTAATTAGGCCCCATCATAATTGTCAGCACCAGGCCCACTGGGCTCTTAATCTGGCCCTGACTACTAATTATTATAATCTCCTCTAAAGATGAGTTTTAGTGGAATTTATATTAACAGTGTTGCTCTGTGGGGTAAATGGTATTTAGAAAGGCTTACATTTTGTCAGAGCCTGACCTTTCAAGGGAATGGCTGCTTAACTTACAAGCTCTGCCAAGACTCTGCCTAATCCACAGCCATCAGCAGCACCTGAGCCTCCTAAACCCTCCAAATCCTCACCCACATTCTTCCTTACCCACACCGATCCCCCTATACCTCATGGGTGGCGGTAGTAAAGCACGAAATTCCGCGGCAGCACCTATCTTTCGCACTAGGCCCGAGAAGGCCCTGGCACCATCATTAACTCACTCACAGCACTGCAACCTCAGAACGCACTGAAGCCCCTCTCACCCGGCGGGACATGAAGGGATTTCTGTCTGAATTTAATAAGTCTGTGGCGGAAGAATTGGATAAGTGCCTGATCCCATCAAGTAGTGCATAGCGGACCTTACAGCCCAGGGCAAGCAACAGGACACAAAATGGAGAAAATGGCTGAAGTAGTGAGCACACACGACACGGATTTACAAGACCTCAAAGATCAGCTTCACCTTCTAGAGAAAAGTAAGGAAGACCTCAGCAACAGGACATGCCGGAATAACATCAGGGTAAGAGGCCTACCTAAATCTTTGTCCACTAACCTCCTACCGGACACGCTCACCACTGTGTTCCAGTACCTTCTGCCCGAGGCAACTGCAGCAGACCTCTTAATGGACTGCACTCATGTACCCTGCAGGCCACCTGCGCCAACCTCACCACCCTGAAGAATGTAATAGTGCAAATGCACTTTTACGTCACATCAAAGACCGCCTGATGCGAGCTGCCAGGAATGCCCCCCATAGAAATAGATGGGGCTCAAAACTAGCTATATATAGATCTGGCACCAACCACACTACGGAGACAAAAATAATTATGCCCACTAACACAACATCTCACTCACCATGGCCACAAATACTGGTGGGGCACCCCTTCAAGCTCATAGTCCGCAAGGATAACAAGTTCTTTACCATCTTGCAACCTGCAGAAGCTATGGAACTACTGGATAGACTTGGCCTACCACAAGCAACCTTAGCCATGCAAAAACAAAAGCCCGCAAGACAGCCACCACTGGTACCACAGAGAAGACGAATGCCGACACAAGACACAGACCACCCGACAGCCTGCTCCCAAGCACGGCCTATAACCTCGAGAGAGTAACTCTTACCAAGACCAAGGACCCAGGGACTAAGGTTCCTCAAGCCACTCATGAACTGCAATGCACGATCTAACTGATCTAAGTATAGCATAAACACACACGCCACACGTATATGTATGTGTGTATGTGTATATATAGATATATATATCTATATACACACATACACTGCTGTGTGTGTGAGGGTGCTGTTAGTGTGCTGTGTGTGAGTGAGGGTGTCATGTGTGTGAGGGTGCTGGGCTGTGTGTGAGGGTGCTGGTTGTGTACTATGTGTGAGGGTGCTGTGTGTGTGAATTTGTTTGGAGGGATTGTGTGTGCAGGTAGGGGGACAGATTAGGAAATAGCTCACTTCTTACCTTTTTCCTGGGAGGGGGGATACTTGCTGCCATCCCTGATGGTCCTAGTGTAAGTGAACACTAGCCTGCAGGGCTAGAGTTCACTCTCGCGAGATCTGAGCATTGCTGCCTCAACACTCCGACCTTGCGAGAGGAACCCCGTTTTGCTGCTAGCAAGATCTTTGATCTCCCTCACCGGCCCATGGAGGCACACAGCACGGGCTGCGGGGACACCCGGCACACCTCATGCGCACACCTATGCTTGTTGGAGCAGGGTCCTCTTTGACCTATCATTTCTGTACGTTTTCTTGTAATTGTCCTATTTATAGATAAATCCCCACTCTTATAATATTGTAAAGCACTACGGAATCTGTTAGATCATCATCTAGATCTAGATCATCTAGATCTAGATCATCTAGATCTAGATCATCTAGATCTAGATCATCATCTAGATCTAGATCATCATCTAGATCTAGATCATCATCTAGATCTAGATCATCATCTAGATCTAGATCATCATCTAGATCATCTAGATCATCTAGATCATCTAGATCATCTAGATCATCTAGATCATCTAGATCATCTAGATCATCTAGATCATCTAGATCATCTAGATCATCTAGATCATCTAGATCATCTAGATCATCTAGATCATCATCATCTCACAGTACTTACAGTCCACAGTACTTACATCCTCTTAACGCTTGCAGACACTGTACAATCACTGCAAGCCACCCTCTCCCTAATAGAATATGCAACCGTCTCGATAAATAAATAAGACCAAATCGGAACTCCTGCCCCTGGCCATGGAACCAAATCAACTACGCACGATCCGCATACCTATTCCCTTTCAAAATCATGACCACCTCCATCCAGATAGGTGGGAGCAGCATTATGTAGATATTTGAAAGCAAGAACCTGAACTTTAAATTGAGCCCTATATCTTACAGGAAGCCAATGTAGGGACTGACTGAGGGGTGAGGTGTGGGAGGTGCGGGCGGACAGGAAGATGAGCCTCGCCGCCGCATTCATTATGGACTGTAAGGGCACAAGCTGGGAGCACGTAAGACCATTGAGAAGCGGATTAAAGTAGTCAAGGCAAGAAAGGACAATGGAATGGACCAACTCCTTAGTCGCATCTAGCGTTAAGTAGGGTCGGATGCGCGCAATGTTTTTGAGATGGAAATGACAGGATTTGGCGATTGACTGAACATAAGGCATCAAGGAGATTAAAAGGGAACACCTACGACATGGATTCAAAGGGAACACCTGGGCAGCGAGCCTGCGTGGGGGAGCAGATGGTAGCACCATTGACTTGGAAGGAGACAGACACAGGAGTAGCAACACTTGAGGGAGGAAAGACTAGAATTTCAGTTTTGGTCAAGCTGAGTTTAAGGAAGTGGGCAGCCATCCAGTTAGAAACAGCAGAGAGGCAGTCAGAGACACTAGCCAAGAGGGATGGGGAGATATCAGGAGAGGACTGGTAGATTTGCGTTTCATTCACATAGAAATTACATTGGAAGCCAAAGGAGCTAATGAGTTTACCAAGGGAGCCAGTATAGATAGAGAACAGTAGGGGACCAGGGACTGAACCTTGGGGGACACCAACAAAGAGGAGTTGTGGAGAAGCAGAGCCAGAGAAAGAAACACCGAAAGAGCACTGGGAGAGGTAGGAGGAGCACCAGGAGAGAGCGATATCTTGTAGACCGATATTGCAGAGGATGAGAAAAAGCTGTTGATGATCAACAGTGTCAAAAGCCGCAGAGAGTAGATCATTGGATACGTTAGTCAGGGCCGTTTCCACATTATCTATAACACCTTAACAACACACACTTCACAAATTAACCTCACATACATCGCAGCATGGGTACGGGATCTGGGACCACTGGAAGATCTGAATGATTGGGTGGAAATCTGGGAAGTGATCAGCTCACACTGTGCATCACCAACAAAGAACAGGCATACAAAACACTACACCACTGGTATCTGACGCCATACCGCCTCCACAAGATGGGCAGACTCCAAAATAACCTATGCTGGAAGATGTGCTTGGAGACTGGCTCCAACCTACAATGGTGGCGGAACTGCCCCAAGCTAAAACCCTTCTGGACAGAAGTACACCTCCTGATAGAAAAGGTAATCACAAAACCCATACCAGCTGACCCTTGGACAATGTTACTGTCCAAACCAACTGACTCCTTCATTAGAAGTAAAAACAAACTCACTGTCAGAATCACCCTAGCAGCAAGACAAGCGATCGCCGAGCTATGGGCAGATCAGCGCATCCCTACGATAGCGATGGTCACACGCAAAATCAATGAGACATGACTCCTTAATAACCTTACAGCACAAATACATGACTCATACAAATCGTTCCACAAGATATGTGACCTCTGGGACGCCAACGGTACATGACGAAACAAGCCCATCCCTCCACAATAGGCCTCTAACTAATCTGGTTTCTTGACACAACCCCATACTGGAATGTCGGACACAGGACATTCAGCATGGTTGGGGGAGACACCACCCCACCTCTCAAGAGAACACATCTAGCAGCCTCCGACAGGTGATGCACATCGACCAACCTCAAATGAATCACGGGTTCACCACCCGAACAACTCCCCTTTTGCTCTCTTTTTTCAGCTCTCTTGCTCCCCTTAACTCCTCCCTCTCTTTTACCTCCCCCCCTCTCCTCAGGAACTACTCCCACCCACTCTCCACTCTGGGTTGGAGGAGGAGATCTGAACGCGTGGGGGCGGTGTACACTCCACACTTTCTCCCTTTATCCTCCCCTCCTTCTTGCAGTCCCCTTGAGGGTACGATGGGTGTGGCACATGAGGCATGAGCACAAACATGAGTCCAGGACTGGCCTCAAACTTTGAGCACCCCATGAACCAAGCTCACCCCCACATAGGGATCACATTGCACAGGGGCCACAGAACACACTCCTGAACTGAGCACCACCACACGCTCTCAGCACACTCCCCTCTCGACACAAGTTTTCAGTTGTGATACCACAACGTGACCACCCGGGAGAGAATGCATTGCTCAACTGGATACAAAGTGGTGCAAAGTTCTACCTATGCCCTGCATGCCCACAACAAACTTACCCGGTAAACAAAGACACCCAATACCACTGGCAGCTGGGTTGGACACCACAAATCCTGTTAAAACTGTATAAGGCACAAAGTTCAACCACAAGATACCATAGACCTGCAACCTACTTGTGATACCAACTATCACTGTCATGGGATGTATGACTTTTCTGTAAACCAAAAACCTTTTAAATAAAGATTTTTTTTTTTAAAGGCTTACATTTCCATTGTAGCCTGGTATGGATAAAATACTTGTTTTGATAAGTGCATTTAAATAGCTCCGTTTAAATTTATTCACATTTCTGCAGTATTCACTCATTGCAGTTATTTTTCCAGAAACTACACCCTGTTCCAAATTATTATGCAAATTATATTTAAGTGTCACAAAGATTAAATATTTTGTTTTTCAGTTTAACTCGTGGATGGCATTGTGTCTCAGGGCTCTTTTGATCACCGAAAAAAATCTCAGACACCTGTGATAATTAGATTGCCAGGTGAGCCCAATTTAAGGAAAAACTACTAAAGGTGGGTGTTCCACATTATTAATCAGAGCACCATTTTCATGCAATATGGGGAAGAAAAAGGATCTCTCTGCTGCCGAAAAGAGTGAAATAGTTAAATGCCTTGGACGAGGTATGAAAACATTAGATATTTCATGAAAACTTAAGCGTGATCATCGCACTATTAAGAGATTTGTGGCTGTTTCAGAGCACAGATGGGTTAGTGCAGATAAAGGCACATTGAGGAAGATTTCTGCCAGATCCATGCATCGGATCAAGAGAGAGCAGCTGCTAAAATACCATTACATAGCAGCAAACAGATATTTGAAGCTACTGGTGCCTCTGGAGTCCCACAGACATCAAGGTGTAGAGTCCTCCAGAGTCTTGCAACTGTGCATAAACCTTCTATCCGGCCACCACTCACCAATGCTCACAAGCAGAAACGGCTGCATTGGGCAGAACAATTCATAAAGACTAATTTTCAAACAGTCCTGTTCACTGATGAGTGCCGTGCAACCCTGGATGGTCCAGATGGATGGAGTAGTGGATGGTTGGTGGACGCCCACCCTGTTCCAACAAGGCTGTGACGTCAGCAAGACGGTGGTGGAGTCATGTTTTGGCCTGGAATCATGGAAAGAGAGCTGGTCGGCCCCTTTAGGGTCCCCGAAGGTGTAAAGATGACCTCTGCAAAGTATGTGGAGTTTCTGACTGACCACTTTCTTCCCTAGTTCAGAAGGAAGAACTATGCTTTCTGTAATAAAATCATCTTCATGCATGACAATGCACCATCTCATGCTGCAAAGAATACCTCTGCATCAATGGCGTTTTTCTGGATTTTTTTTGTTTTTTATTCGGTCTCACTGTTAAAATACACATACCATTAAAATTATAGACTGATCATTTCTTTGTCAGTGGACAAATGTTCAAAATCAGCATGGGATCAAATACTTTTTCCCCTCACTGTAGCTGGATTAAAAAAAAATTGTAAGCGAGCGAACCTTTTTAGTTTTATAATTATTGATTTAATGTTTTTTTTATTATCTTAAATGAATGAAAAATGGGGAACAGGAGCCACTTTAAGATGAAAAAAATTTGATTTTTTTTTTTTCAAGAATGGAAGGAAAAAGTCAGTGTGAGATCACTCTGCCACTGCAACCATTCGCCCAGGGTGCTGGCCTGCTGGGGACAACCACCTTGAAGTTTCCTGGTGGGCTGCCTGACCCTGTCTGGGGCCACAGCACTGGGCAATCTGCTCTTGAACCGCCCCCAGTGCCGGCCCGATCCTTAAGGTGCCTGAAATTGGTGTGTGTCAGCGAGAGTATGTGTGTGTGTCTGTCAGTGAGTGTCTGTGTGTGTGTCAGTGAGTGTGTGTCTGTCTGTGAGTGTGTGAGTGTTTGACTGTCAGTATGTGATTCTGTCAGTGAGAGTCTGTCTGTCAGTGAGCAAGTGTATGTATGTCAGAGAGTGTCTGTGTGTGTGTGTGTGTGTCAGTGAGTGAATGTATTTATGTCAGTAATTGTCTGTCTGGCTGTGTGTGTGTTTATTAGTGAGTGAGTGTATGTCTGTGAGTGTCTGTGTGTCTGTCAGTGAGTGTATATATGTCAGTGAGTGTCTGTGTGTGTGTTTGTGTCTGTCTGTCAGCGAGTGTTTGACTGTCAGTATGTGTGTGTGTTTGTGTCAATGAGTGTCTGCCTGTGTGTGTGTGTCTGTCAGTGAGTAAGTGTATGCATGTCAGTGATTGTCTGTCTGTGTGTCTGTCTGTCAGTGAGTTAGTGTGTGTGTGTGTGGGAAACACTGGACCTCAGGGAAGTAGGGAGGCTGGATGGGCCTCAAAAAAATTAATTGTGTGAGTCTGTGTGTCAGTGAGTGTGTGTGTGTCTGTCAGTGAGTCAATGTATGTATGTCAGTGTGTATCTGTATCAGCGAGTGTTTGACTGTCAGTGTGTGTGTTTGTGTCAATGAATGTCTGCCTGTGTGTCTGTCAGTGAGTGCCTGTGTGTCTCTGTCAGTGAGTGTGTGTGTCTGTCAGTGAGTGCCTGTGTGTGTCTGTCTGTCAGTGAGTGTGTGT